CCTTAACTCGCATGCTCGCATTTTGCCCCTCTATTTTGGGAGCAGGTTGATGAGGACGGGCCTGGGAGAGAACGAGGCGGAGAGGTGTTGAATCTCCTTTAATTTGGGGGGGGTTACACAAAGACTGCAGCATCAGGACAGGATGCGCTCTTTTCGTCTCCGAGTTCAGGGCCGAATTCCTGTGGTCCATTTTTAATCCGGATGAGCTCACATTGCTGCAACTTTGCATCAGCGCGCCTTTCAGTGCCCGTCCAGGGAAAAGGCAGCCTCTCACCATTGTGCTATCCAGGACATTTGAGTTGTCAGTCTTAGTTTCTAGATAAGCACTAGTTTGTTTGAGGGAGCTTTCTTTTGGAATACTTGTTCTAAGCCAGCAGCTCCTGAGCTTGTGAGGAGCTAGTGTAATAAAGCAGGAGTTATTTCTGAGCCCTCATTCGGACCGCCATTCAAAAAGAAGAACTTTTTTTCTGCTTGTGCACCTTCAGCTTTCAGTCTGAACACTGAGAGACAGCATGTTTCACACATTATTGTTTAATAACCTCTCTTGATTAATTTCGCAACTAGTACAGCTGCTGCAGAACTTTTACTTACTGCTTCCTAAAGCAGAAAAGTGTATACCACAGAGATAGTGCTCACTCTTATATCCATGTTGTATACTGAGAGCAGTACATAGGTTCCATGAGATAATTGGGGACAGATTTCTTATCAGCCAGCCAGAGGGAATGTTTTGTATTTAGCTCAACTTTTTTCTGTGTCCTTAAAGTGGTGATTTGGCCAAAAATCACATTTACACAATTTTCCCTTCACCCCAAGGGTGAGGGACAAAAGTACAGACACAATTCAGGCTTTCAGGATGGTTACTGCTAGCTATGTAATGCGGTTCTGTCTATTTTAATAGATAATAGTACGTCATAGTCTCGGAAACAACATAAGCAAGTTTGTTTGAGATTACTTAACAGTTGTGAGTGTGCAATATTTTAGGCATCCAAGTTAAGCTACTAGTTAGCTACATTACATTTGTAGCTTCAGTGCAAAACTTAAGCAAACTAAATCTATCTTGGCTGATTGAAAGAATTTTGTAAATTTTTCAGTTAGATTTTTCAAAATTTCTGCATAATTAATCGTTTAAGATGTAAGTCATTCCGAGTAGAAATGAAATGCGCTGTTCTAGAGAAACATACAGAGTCAGAATTGTTCACGGTGGTAGTGATAGGAACCAGATGTCTAAAACAGGTTAATGCCTCTAAAAGCTACTCACAGAAAAATTTTAAGTGAAATAGTTACAAATACACTGCCTGATTCCTGAGACATTGTTTTACAATATTTTTGAGAAAATATTTTTGGCCTAAAATGTATTTATAGAATGTGTTTGTGGTGGAGAAATACATGTATGATGTTATAAAGTAAAAAAAAAAAAATAGGTGTACCACTGTTGAAAGTAAATGAAATATGCTTGTTGTAGACATCTCGACCCCTGGTTCCCATTACCACCACTGCAGAGAAATCTTAGAAAGTTCTCTGAATGACTACATTTCAACGACTGAATTATGCAGAAAGTTTGAATCATCGGTGGAATTTCCATGTACGTCTGCAGGGGCCTCACAAGATCATGATCTCTGGCCATACCAGATGTTTTAATTTTTTAATAGAAATATCACAAAGAACATTGTTTTCACGTTTACTGTTTATTTGTTGAATTCAACACATTGGAAAAAATAGATAAAGTTGTAGTTGTAGTTGTCTTTTCCCTGTAGTGGATGCATTGTGAGTGTTCAAGAAAACATGTAGTTTGATCAGGGTGTTCAAACTTTTGCATATGACTATATGAGATACCATGAATGACAAATATTTCCATTAAATATGGTTATTGGCATCTCTTATTGTGTCAGTTTTGGGCTGTAGAATCACTGTGGTTTTACCAGTGTACAGGTAGAGGGGTATGATCTGAGCTAACACTGTCTGTCTGTGTTTCTCCCAGAGAGAGAGAGAGAGAGAGAGAGAGAGAGAGAGAGAGAGAGAGAGAGAGAGAGAGAGAGAGAGAGAGAGAGAGAGAGAGAGAGAGAGAGAGAGAGATGTCTACATATAATATGAATAAAATACATTACATCAACACAAGTCTTTGTTTACTACAGTTCTGTTGATGTGATAAATTTTATTCTTGTAGAAATGATGAACACTTTTGAATCAAGTAAATGTATTGCATTGATTTTTTTAGTGTAGCTAGACAGATAGATGAAGTATTCTCTGCTCCTCTGTTCTCAGATATCAGGCTGAATAGGTCCAGTTTGTTTACTCTGCTGAGCTTTGATTCACACTCACACGTAAACTTCATAAATTCGCATTATGTCAAATAAATCAGTAAATTTCATTATTGCATGCTTTACTGCTGACTACTACTTCAGGGGCTATGAATGCACTCCACTTTATTGGTCGTTTCTGCTGTGAGGGAGGAAAAGGGAGAAGAAACAGAGAAGTACACTTTTATTAGAAAGAATAGAAACATCATCCACAATAACAATTTTAATAGGGATGCATTGATATGGGAATTTTGGGCCATTGCTGATATACAATATTTTTCAAGTACATATCTACCAATGTCTGTCCTGATACGTAAACATTTATAAAATGTAGAAATTGGGACTGAATCCACCTGGATTAGCATTACAGAGAAATATAAGATTGATTGTAGAGGGATACAAGCACAGTAAAATGAATAAAATGCAGAAATTTTATTCAGCTCCTCAGTTTTCCAGCATCTCTTAAACATTCTGCTTTGCTGGAGTGCAGTATAGATGTCATCAGTTATTGGTTTGAAATGTAAGTCAAATCTGTCTCTTGCTGATAACATTTTGAAGCAATTATCAGCTGATACCGGAATGATTCTGATATGATAGATATGCCTCCCAAATTTTGCATTGGTAGTCTGACAGACTCTTGCTTCCCTATTTTTAAACACATCCAGCATTGTTCTTCACCTCTTTAGGTGCTTTATTTCAGGTTTGTAGTCTTTATCGGGATGCCTCAGACCTTTCTGACCTTTTTTTCGCTCTCTACCACACCTCTCCAGAACTGTACTAATTTTGTAAAAAATAGAGGTAATGTGGGCCTGCTCCATCACCCCAGTTATTTTTAAGATAGAGATTAATGGCAGTCCTCTTTTTCTGTGAATGTAATTTGTATTTATAGAGCTCTTATGCTGTGTATTTCGGTCCTGATTGTGTTTTTTTTGTGTGTGTATTTTTTTCTCAAGGAATAAGTAGGAAGAAACGAAATTAAAAGTTTAAAACACAAAGTGGAGCACGGCTGGTAGTTTCGCATTCCCTTATGGTTAATAAATATATCCAAGAAAAGTTTATCTTCTGGGATTGCAGAATAATGTGTAATGATAATATGCAATTATCGCCTCTGATTTTTTCAGCAGTAACCTCAAGATGAGGTGTAACTTGAGTGTTAGAGCAAGTGCTGATAGAGAGAGCAGGGAGAGGGGGAGAGAAAGCACAGTGACATATGTGCGTGTCGTGGAAGTGTTAAGTGCTCTTTTACTTGTGCAGTTAATTTAGACAGATCACAATGGGACTTCCCCTGATTCATTGTTTGTGCGTTCATTATTGAACCAGTGTTTTTTTTTAAAGAGGAAGGTAAAAAAGACAGATAGAGAACAAAAGAAAGAAAGAAAGAAAGAGAAAGGGTGGGAGACTGAGAAAGAAAAGGAGCTAATCGCTTCAGATCGATCCCCAGCATCGCGCCGCACATTTATTTAAGCTCGTAATCCTTGTAAATAGCTTCCAGCAAGGCAAAGTCAGCCTTTTAACATTGACTAAATGAAGTAAATAGAAGCGAATGAATTTTTAAAAGATGCATTGCGGTTGAACCCTGTTTGTTATGTATGGAACAGATCGGCGCGTAAGCTGGCAGCTAATGAGGCCTGTAAATTTAACGCCGAAATCATATTCTGATGGCTTTGCCACCCTGCTGTTCGGGGGCTTGCAGTGAAGTTTGCTTTAAATGTGGAGCGTCTGTTCCCCCTCCTAAAGCCCCTCACACCCGAACAGATGGAGAGAATATGGAGCTGGGAAGGTTTACCTTGGAGGTGGTAACAGTGAAGCCACTCATTAACACTGAATTTACCACTTCGTTAGCAACGCAGCTTCCTGTTGAGAGCATCCAGTGCTGGATGTCAAATCCTCAGAGCATACATTTAGCCTAGCGACCCGACAGCAATGTTGGACCCTTTCAAGGGGTATGGGGCTTTTTTGGGCAAGGCAAGCGAGACGCACCTCAAATCCTGCAACTTTTTCTAATCTGAGAAGACTGCTACGAACCAGCAAATGCAATTAGGTAGTTCAGTGTCATTCATTTTGAGGTGCAAGTCTGCAAGACTAGCCACATTCAACACTTGAAAATATCGTTTTCTTCTTCGTCTATCAATCTGTCCAGTGTTTTGGGGCAGCGTGTTTGTGTTGTGTGTGTGTGTGGTTGCACTGGTGCATGTGTGCCAATTTGTCAAGATTGAAGCAACAACAGTCTCGTGCTGGGATGTGCTTTGGCACCATCAGAGAGTGCTAAGACAGAATAATATGATCTCATTGGAGGTGTACTTTGTTCCCATGGAAATTGGTCAATTTTAGGAGACGGCTGAGAACTTTAGTGGGAGAAACAGGAAGGTCTGATCCCAGAGGTGTGCTCACATAATTAAGCTTCCTCACCAGTGTTTCCAGGGCTAACAGCAGGGTGTTCTGTGAATAGATGTGGTGGCAGTGGGTGTAGAAACCCATAATGCAGTATAAAAAAAAATAATGGCCCTCTCGCTTTGCTGTGGAAATTAGTAGTCTTTTTTTGTATGGGTGAAAGGTTATAGTTAGTTTTTACTTTGACTTTAATTTCTGTCTGAGTCCTAGAAATGGCGTATTGTCATTTAACACATTTTCTTTTTCTATTTATCCAGTCATTATTTATCCGATTTGATAACAGACCTGTTTGACGCTAATTGTGTTTTGTAGATGGTCTCTCTGTCATGGCAGCAGTGAACGAGAGTGCGGAGGAAGAGAAAGAGGTGGAATCTGCAGAAGATTGCACTCAGGAGCTGTCAGGCAGTCACACATCTACTCCCACCACCTCCTCCACCACCACCAACAACAACAACAGCAGTGTGGGGCCACAGCAGTGCCAGTCTTTGGACACTCACCAAAGCCTTTTAAATGGAGCACAGCCGAGCCCATTTGTCTGTGGCAGCGTCCCGGCCGCCCCCTGCACAGACGATTCATTGCCTTCAGGAGCACTTGTTAATGGACCTGCTTCACACTGTACCTCAGAGGAGCCCCACGTCCCCAACAAAGACGCGTCCCCTTGGCCTGGGACAGACACCAACCCCGAGGTGTTACAGCCTCCCAGCGAGCTTCAATCAGACACTTGGCAAAAACCAGAAGGGCACGTCCTGAAAGCGCCGTCCACATGGACCTCATCTGAGTTGGACAACAGTGACTGTGAGGCTCACTTGGATGTGCTGGTGGGGGATGATGCAGATAACAGGCCAATCAGCAGGCTGTGGACGAGAAAAAGTGTCAAAACAGGGTTCTTATGGGACGTTGATTCGGAGTCGTCGGAAAGCTCCTCTGACGACTACGACGACCTAAACAGGGGCCTTCGAGAGAAGTTCATGCGCTTCCTGTTGAAAGGCAGGGTAATGGATGGAGTGGTGAAAAGAGAGATGGAGACAGAAGGCTCTCCATTGGCCAGCCCTAGCAGGAGGAAGCGGAAAATGTACAGGGTAGAAAGGATGCCGACCGAGGAAGAAGTTAACAACGGCTTCGGCTCTGCTTCCCTCGCTGACGGGGACTTGGATTTTGATTCGTCCATTAGCAAAGAACATGCCTGGAGGAAAGAGCCAGAAAGTTTAAGAACATGCCTGGGGAATTCTTACGACAAAGCAGCTGTCGTGGAGAAGTTCATTTTAAGCGAGAAGGAAGGCAGGAGCGATGAAGGCAGCGACGTTGGAGAAGCAGACGACTACGTGGGTGGCAAACCTGCATGTTTAAAGAGCAGGATGGAAACAGGCAAAGAGCCGGAGCCGTTGCTCTTCCAATGCACAAAGTGCAACATTAATTTCAAGGAGAAGAGGCATTTGCATAGACATATGATGTATCATTTAGACAGGCATAATCAGGTAGGGCAGGAGAGCGTCCTCCGTCCCTTTATATGCAAAGAGTGTGGGCGTTCGTTCCGCGAGCGTTCCACCCTGCACAAGCACATGCAGATCCACCAGGCACGAAGGGAACGTCTGATGCAGGAGATTAAAGGTTTGAATGAATCACAGGACGAAGGCCGAGACGGCCAGCTGCAGTGCCCCCAGTGCGCCTTCGGAACCAGCTGCCCCAAAACTTTTGTCCGCCATGCCGAGTCTCATGAACAGGACAAACATTATTACAGTTGCGAAGAACGTGATTACTCGGCTGTGAGTGAACTGGATATGGAAGCACACCAAGGGACGGCTCACCAAGGCAGATTTTTAAAAGTCTTTGACACATTTCTTTGTAAAATTTGCACATTTAGGACAAAGAACGTCAGTGTTTTGAGAAAGCACTTAGAACTTGTTCACAAGCAGCCACTTTATGATTATGACCTTCAGTTGCATAATCTGACAGCTGACAACCATATAAAGCCTGTGTTAGACCAGGACAGGTTAATAGACCAAACTAAAGACGACATTTCACCTCCACTTTCACTGAAGCCAAAGTCCCTCAGAGACAAGCAGAACGGCTGGAGAGGAGCAGGGCTTTCCATGCGGTCCAATGGCACCGCTGACCTTTATGTGAGAGATAAAGGCACACAAAAATCCTGTAAAGGATTGAGCTCCTCACTGATCAAGTGGAGTTTTGGCAGCTTAGCAAACAACCTGTCACCATCTTCCCTGAGATGTGACAAGCCAAGTAAATTATCTGTGCCTACAGAGAGAATGGATGTGACAACAGGTCTCCCGTATGTCGAAGAGGACAATCAAGGATATGAAAGCCCTGTCTCTGAACAAAAGACAAAATATCTCTCCAGTTTTGACATGCATCTTACGACCAAGACTGCAATCTCTAGCAAAACAGCACATCTGAACCAAGACACTGCTACCGCTTCCAAAGATCCCTCAGAAAGTGGTGGTTTAGCGGAGCCGGCGCTGAAGCAGAAATCTCCCTCTAAAAGAAAAATGTCCATCCCTTATCACAACACCCCTACGAATACTTTGATTTTCCCAAAAAGTGAACCAGTATCTCCGGAATGGCAGGACGCTGAGCCCCTACAAGAAAGTGATTATGACGACGCTAATGATACTAATGAATCTAATGATGCCAATTACCATAATGACACCACTGCAAACCTCCTGGATGGCAGTGAGGATGGACACAGCCCCTACTCTGCTGACCGCTTCTTTCAACAGGGCTTTTCGCTTAAAGAAGACAGCTGTGACTCTGCCAATCATTCAGATCATGATGACTACATGGAAGGCAATGAAATTTGCACATTCATCGTGAAAGAGGAGAGTATAGAGAGCGCAGTCAGTGAGGACAATCCAGAGTTAGAGTTTCCTGACCATAACCTCAGTGATTCTTGCACAAGCTATCGTGTGTCCCCCGTGTTTGAGATGGACCGCAAGTCCTGTCCATATTGTCCTGCTGTGTTTGAGTCAGGAGTGGGTTTGTCCAATCATGTGAGAGGACATCTACACAGGCTGGGGCTGAGTTATGACGCTCGTCACATGCTGTCACCTGAACAGGTAGCATCTCAGGACCGGCAGCCCCGCATCCGCAGAAGAGCACCTTCGATGAACAGAAGAATCCGGAAAGGTGATTTATATCAAACGTAAAAATGCTAGTTTTGAAAAAACATAAACTCTGAACATAAAGTGTTAGTTTGGCAAAAATGTACTTAATTTCTGATAATTTAATACTAGACTAATCATTTCGAGCGGTAGTCAATTAATAGAGATGTGTTTGGTGTCTAAAGTTTACTTTTGCACTGGAGCTGCTTGTTAGCTTGTAACAGAGCTAACTTGTAATGGAGGCTTCTAGCCGACCAGTTAACTTGTAGCAAGTGACTTGCTTATGTGGTTTCTGTCACTGTTTTATATATAAATAGACATAAGTGCATCATATAGGTGAACAGTGATAGCAGCATCACTGATTTTATAGTTGGGTCAGTGCCATAATGTGCATTTGCTTGTGTCCAAGTCCATTATCTTCCTGTTTCATAATTTATGTAAGCACATTTTCAAGTACATCAAAATAAAATGAATTACAGGCATTTATGGTGCCAAATCTAAAAATGTCAGGTGGTGCGACAGTCCAACCATGCATATGCATATTAAGTAAACTTTTAACACAGATAATTTTGTTATTCAAAATTCTAAATAAAATAGTTTGATATTGTTTTATATTTGAAATATTTAAAATCATAACATACTGCAATTTTAAAAATGTTAATTGGGAAATTATTTTTTTTTTCAGAATAATTAATTCTGATTCTAATTTCCTCAGTTGTACTGTGACATAAAAAAAACAAAATACTTTTTTTTGCATCAGAAGGAAGACCTCAAGTAACCTTCATGATGCAATATTAGGGTCAGAAGCCCTTTCACAAATATTGAAAAATTTTAATTTTTCAGTCATAGGCTGGTTCAGTTTTCTAATACGACCTCAAGAAAACCACAGAAATATGTGATTACAATAATAATTTTGATTTATTTGAAAAAAAAAATGTATAAACTTTAATTCAAGGGCGAAGGTTTTGTGTCCAAGTACAAAGAATACTTAATACATGTTTTCAGTAGCGATACATAACTTAAAAATATAATATGTTTGTTAATGTGTGATTGTGCAGCTGGATGGTAAAATTGATGATTATGTTCAAACGTGCTTATACATTTACAAAAGCTATGAAACAGATTTCAAACAGACATGAAACAGATTCTTGCAGATATGAAGAATGCACATCATAACCTTTCTACTAACAACTTTTTAATTATTATTTGATAGCCTTATTTGTCATTGATTATAGATTACATTATGTCTAAACTAAATCAGCAAACAGACACCAAAATATGTCTTGATTAATTACATTTATATAGAATTACGTAAATATTTTTTTTCACAGAACTGTGGTTTATGGTTGGTGTGTTGAACACTTTAGAGCTTCAATCAAGCCTAAAAATTTAAACTGAACTCAAGTATAACCCAAAAATATTGTCTCTGACCCGGTCCACATCATAACATCTGTCTGAAACTAACCTTTACTGGCCCAGCATCACTTGAAGCGCTGAATAAAACCTGATTTTCCAGTCATAGCAGTGGTTCAGTTACAGCATAGTGAATATATTAGCTGTCATTATCATGAATAAATACAGTTACAGTTTAAAAAATATATATATTGATATACAGTGGCGAACCCAGACTTTTAGAGCTAGGTCCTTAATTTGGGCCATAGATGTCAAAAAGTCAAAACATGCAGAAAAAAAAATCCCACTTCAACATTAACACTATCTTCAGCTAGCGTCTCTATACTATTGTCCTTACTTACAGATAACTGGATATCCGTTGATGAACTTTTAAGGACACTTAAATATTCTAATTCGTCGGAATGCACATCCTTACTCCAGAACTCTCTTTCAGTCTTTTCTTTAATCTGCAGACTTGATTATTTTTTTGTTTATTTCTTAACAGATAAGCCTGAGTCTCAAACAGAACACACCTGTCCTCTATGTCTTGGCTGGTTTGATACAAAGACTGGCCTGTCCAATCACGTTCGTGGGCACTTGAAACGGATTGGGAAGCCAATCACAGGGGTCAGCAAATCTCCCCTCTGCATCCTCACCGAGCTTCTGCAGGATGAGAATGAGCACCAGAAGATTCTCCACTCTCTTCAGGCCAAACCACACCTCTCCAGACCTTTCATTTCTCAGAAGTTTGCAGGCAGCGAAGGTCTGTTTCTGACGCCCACCGGTGTCCCTGTAAAGGTCCAGCATCAGTGGCCTTCCAGTGAGCCACGCTCAGAAGATGGTGAGAAGAGAAAGAAAAGTGAGGACATCAGTGTAATCAATGAAACCTCGTCAAGCACTTTAATAGAACTTCTTAAGAGAAAGAGACTGGACCCGGAGCTAGAGGAGGTCAAAGGTCACTCGCAGGCAGCCAGGACTCGTTGTATCGTTCCATCGTCCAAAAGCGCTGATTCTGAGGACCTGCCTCTGCAGGACCTGAGCTCCAGCTGCAGCCAAGGTGAGGAACACACAAACAATCACCCGGGGTGGGTGATATGATGTCATATCATGTTAAACTACATCATGATGAGCTTTATTATGAGTATCAGCTTTACTTAAAGGACAGTTTACTTAAAGGACAGGAACTGTTTTATTAAAACTGCACTGCGTTTTGTTAAAGAAAAGATGTAACATTACTCAGTCAGAAGAAAAAAACAACATGCTAAAATATAGTGTGTGTGCGCCACCCAGTAAAGTCTGAAATAGTCATTTAAAAGTCAGAGGTGTTTGGTGGGATTTTACAAGAATTTTTTGGACCACATCATCCATCTTTGTTACACGCACAGACTCAGACAGACTCTTTACACACACAGACTCAACAAGAAGGTCTGGCTTAATATTTAGATCTCTAAAGCAAAATCAGCATTATACTAATGATATGATGCCAGCATTATATAATTCAGATGTATCCTCGAAACACATGTTCCTTCACCAAGTCTTCACTGATTTCTCTTTGAATACTCTTTCAACATGCTCACGAATAATCATCGGCGCAAATTTATCGTAATTTATCATGATAGCGATAAATATCGTCAAACTGTCCATGTCAAATTGGTTGTAATAAATTTTAGCATGTGGAATTGGAGCTTTGTGTGTGCTGCTGTGTGTCTGCACTGTATAAAAGATTCACAAAGCTGCCTTTATTATCGGATAATAATAGCAATGATAAACTATGTAATGATAAAATGAGGCTGATGTGCGTTACATTCCTATTCATGCATTTCTTGTTCAAAATGGTGAAAACTGACACAAACTAAGTAAAAATCTACAAATTATTCTTTGTTATATCATTTTCTTTACATGTCAAATAAATGCAACAGCAGTGTTGAGAAATCACTTAAGAGAAGATTAAACAGTAGGAATAGCCACTTTTTAGTGCTGGTCTTAAAGAACTGGATGCAGTGCTGCTAAGGATGTGAAACACTGAATACTGATGCACGTTAAAAACAATATTGTCCCTGTTGGCCCAAAAAATCCTCTTTTTTGTTTATTATTTAGAAATGGTCTTTAGAATGGAATTTAGACTTGTTACTTTAACTTACATGAAAAGTAAGGAATGTTTTCTATTATTTCTACTGAACAGTTGCTATTATGCTGATGTGGGGTTTTGTGCCAGAATGTGATGTGTATTGTGCATCTTGAAAGTGTTGTCATAGCATAGTTTTGGCAAATCACTCACCCCTAAACTTCCACACACTAACAGGCCAGCATCTATGGTCCCCATCAGTATTGGTGGTCTGTAGCCAAAACACAAATATGAAAGGATTCCAAAATGCTGTATGTATATGTACAGCAATAAAGAATTGATATTTCTTGTATGTAATTCTGTTTTTCAGAACCTCTTAAACTCTATGTTCATTATTTTGTTTTTAAACTTAAGGCTTATTATCCAGTAACTACTATGAGTTATTAACTTATGAAACTGCTGTATATATAGCATGTGGTTACAAGAGTGCAGAATGGAAGTGAGGACTAGCAGAGAGGCTTAGATGGCCAAGAGTTAAGGTCTGATGCTGTGGTTCAACTTTACAAGAAAAAAGTTGAGGAGAAACTTTTGAGTAGTTGTGGCTAATTTGCGTACTTTAGTACTTAATTATGAATTAGAAGAGGGGGTATGTATTACTTCATATTTATTATTAACTTTATTAGTTCATATACTTTCAAATTCTTTGCGGTGTTTTGCATGGCAGCGCAGTTGACATCAGTGCCTGAGGCGTAATTGGGATCTGTTTTAAAATACAGGGTGTACAGGGTTTAATTGAATGTCTGTAAGGCAGACGGTTGGTTATGAGATTCAGTACAGTACGACACTTCAAATGTGAAGTAGGCTTACTTGCACAACGACACGCTGGATGCGTCGCTGTCTCTGCCACACTTGTTTCAGTCTCTTAGAAAAAATGTAAAGTAGTGAATAATTAGAGCTGCAGTTGTCTACCTTAAACTTACAAGTAGCATGACAGAATTTACATTTTTTTAGAGCATATAACCGCATATGATTAGAAAATATATGAACTTTTTGGGCCTGCTCTGAGGAGGGGTGATATTTCTGAATCATCTGCTCATAATTATTATCAGAAATTTTTCTTTGTCTTTTTATAAGTGCTATACAGTTATGAACTTTTCTATCTTAATCAAATAATATGTTTGCATGCAATTAACAGTTGTACTCATTTTCATACTCGTCTGTGTCTTGTTTAACAGCATTGCTTTGTATGTTTTCCTTTAAAACGCTGCTCGATGTGAGGATGTTCTTTGCGATCAGTGATGTATGAGAACTGTCCTCGTCTACCGCTGTCCCTTTTTTCCATGTAACATTAACAGGTCTGAAGTTTACAGCAATCACTCTGGCTGGTGTCTAGCAGTTTTTTTTAATGAGAATACAGCGCCACTGTAACAAGAGGGTTTCTCTGTTTCTCAGACAGCCGCGTGTATGATCTGTCTTGTTTCTACTGATGTGGAATCAAAGGCTCACGGCTGCTATTTGACAGACAGGTGATGGCTAAATTGTATGATGTGTTGAAAAAAAAACTGGGTCACAGATTATCACTGAACGTTATTTATTCTTATAACATAGTCGTAACCATGTAGGTATTGCGTTACGCTGGGGGGCCTCTGTGATGGCGTATAATGACAGATAGATTAACTGCTGCGGCACTAATCGAGGAGATTTACAGCCCGTGTGTACAGCAGAGCGCTCGCATTGATGATAAATATGTAGCACTAGTACAAAACCTTGTTTCATTGCTGTTTTGTGTGTTTTTTCCACCTCCGCTGCTTTCATTATTTACAGTCGCTCATGTTCAACCACCCAATTTCAATCATACGCTGTGCTATTAAATATGTATGGCAGACACCTCGCTCTCCGTAAAGCACCCATGCTCTCTCTGCAACCTTGAAGTCTGGAGACGCCTCTGGAAGCCATCGAAGGAAAAAGTGAGAGAGGGAGAGGCAGAGAGTGCAGTGGAAAAGAGGGGGGAAAAAACGCCTCTCTACCCGCTGATTTATTGTAACGCGAATATGAAAAAGAATGAGTGTCATCCGAAGTGGCTTTGAAATTCAAATGTAAAAGCCGCAGCGTTCTTTGATGTGACGCTGGAAACGCATCAGCTGTGTTTACACACCTTTGTTTCATGTCTATCCAAATAAAGAGTTTGAGCCGCATTAGCGGAGAAAATGTTAGCGGAGATTTAAAATCGCGTTCTTCTGTTCGGGGTGTCCGTCTTAATTTTGTTCGCCCTGCCGCTTTTTTGATGGTTCACGTGCGTTCATTTTTATCAAGTTTATAGCTCGCTGTTCTGCCTGAGTGTAGTACTTGGAGGTGGGGCCCTGACAGCCTTGGCAGGAAGTTCAAACAGTCTGCTAGAATTGTAGAAATTTGAATACTTAAACAGGCTTATTAAAGCTCCTCAGCACAGTTTTTCAGATGGACATTTTTGGCAAAAGTTGACATGTTTCGCTTTTTAATCAAGCAAGACGGTGACGAGGAAGGAATAAAATATTTGCGCTTTAAGATATTTAGGTAATTAACTGAGACATCTGTTGGTTTGTTGCGTGTAATTGTCAGTAAAACAATTCGCAGGTAATTTAAATAACCTTTGGTGTCTTGTCATGGAAAAACAAGCCTAGGTAGCAGATGTTTTTCTCGATTTGGTGTGAAATGACTGGAAGCTGTTGCAGTTTTCACACAACATAGCATATACTTTTCCTTTTCTTACGTCCATTCAGTCATCCATCCATCAGACCATGATGGATCCGTCAGTTTGTTTGCACAGTGAAATGCTTGATTACAAAGTAGATGCCATGTATATATTGGAGCACATCTCGAAATTGAATTCAGCATGATGTATGATCTGCTTCCGCAAAACTTTTTTTTCCTCTGATTCCGCCTGTCATGTCTCAGCGGGGGCGAAATTATTCCTGAACATTTTCATTCTCCCGCTGTCAAAATAAAAACAAACCATGTGGAGTGTATTTTGATAAACATTGTTCTCAACGATGCAAAAGTGAGCTTAAAGATTTGACAACAGATGGAGCGAGAGGGTGAAGACTCTGAGGGAATCACAGCTTTATTTCCTTCAAGCTGGTGATGTGTGCAAAATGTTGCCCTTACTCACACACACACACACACACGTACTCACACCAACACCATGTTAACCCCTGAAGTGTTCTAAATATACTTTTATATTTGACATATGTTAATCCGAATACATTATCCAGATATTAGTAGAGGTCTGTGTTTTCATGTACTGTAATGAAGTCACTTAATCTGTCTGTTAATTACTAGTCAATATGTTTGTCTCCTTTTTGCAGAAAAGTTTGAAATTAATAAGAAGATTTGCATCCACTGCAATGCAACTTTCCACAGCGCTGTCAGCCTGTCCAATCACCTTCGAGCTTATGCACGCAGGAAGAGGATCGCACTGCTAGAGGGAACGTGTAGGTTTTCTGTCTGATTTATTTGAACTGGTTCTGAGCTGTGTAGCAGCCACTGTTAGTGAGTAGTAGTTAGTTATCTTAGTATCTGTGTAGTTAAAGAAGTTAAAGTGTGATTCTGATCATTATCTCTTCTGGAACAATGTGTATATTATTCACTTGGAAAAAAAGGCAAAAGTCAGGGACCAGCCTTTGTTTACCTAATTTCCAGTGAGAATGACCATTAAGCATCAGGAAAAAAGCAGAAAACACATATTTAACAGGTAATTACATGGAAGCCTCATGTAATATCAATATTTTGAGTGTTTTTTGTTTCCACAAAAAATACAAACACACAAAAAACACTCAAAATACCTTTATTTCAACTTCCTTTATTACAACTTCTTGCTTTCAGGTTTTTAAAGAAATCTGCAGGGATATTTTTCCTCATCTCCAAAGTTCAGTCTTAGAAGTTGGTTGCACTTTCTGCTTCTCATGGAAATGCAAGTTGTTTTTCACAGTTGAAGAACAGAAACAAATGTTTAGATTTTTTCCGATCTGATACAAGAGTGGAGCTTGATTTTCCCCTTACTCTCAAAGATTTAAGCTTTACGTATTGTCTTATCTGATAGTGGCAGTGTTGGTGGTCTGTGAGGTCTTGCATGATTGTTAGAAGTCCCCTTTACACTTTTATTAATTTTGTTAAACTGTAGTTTAGTCTAATAGATTTACACACCAGACTCCGTTTTTATTAGACTGTGTGTTTTGCAGCATATAACTGTAATCAGATCCGGCCTCGATCAAGGCCCGGGCCAAAGAGGAAGGAGTTTCCCTCTCCACACACAGCATCTGAAGTGATCTACAGACTGACCTGCAGGTACTTTACCCCACTCAAACACTCCAGCACTTCCTTACACACTCAGCACTGCCCTGATTACTCCCACACTCCTTCCTTTTTTAAATTTATATGTAAATATTTATGTATCTATTCATGTACTAGAAATGGCATGATACTTTTTCTAATATATTTTTATAAATTTTTCTAATGTATTAAAACCTTGAGTCTTGGCACTCGCCATGCCATTGTCTTGCCATTATTTTTTCTTCAAAAACTGTAAAGCTTTAAAATGAGCCTTTATTAATTGAAGCACATAACACAGTGCGAGTATGTGCTATTTCAGGACATATATATATATTTTATAAAGTTAACAATTCTGAGAAAAGATCTAAAGAGATTAAAGATATCGATATCTATGCAGTATCAGACTAGTATCCATAGAAAATGCTGGATCAGAAGGGAAATAAAAAAAATCTGATTTAATCATGTAACAAATCTGTCCTGAAATATAAAATTTGGGCCTGCCATTTAAGAGGTAAAATTGAACGATATAGTTCAATTTTACCTCTTAAATGGCAGGCCCAAATTTTATTACATACACTTCTGTAACCTAAGAGTAGCTCAGCTCAAGTTCTCATTGTAGTTCCTGTAGTTACTGAATAATAAGCCTTAATATGTAATAAGTCAGGTATTGTCAGCGGTTAATGTTCATGAGTGTAATAAGATATTATTTCAGGATATTTTGAAGTATTTGTATTGGACCATTTGCCATTCAATGTTCTGTCATTGTAAACTGTAGCTCATGTTTTCAAATGGTGTTTAAAAACAGCAACCAAAAAAAAAATGTTTTCAAATGACGATGATATTTACGGTTACATGGCTATTCATTTTTACCAGGTAACTGGTCATGTTGCGGCCATCAGTTGTCTTGCTGCTTTCTTCTTACCACCGTTACTGTATTTACTTACTTGTTACTGTGTTTGTCTTAATGTAAGCTAATGCTAAGAAAAATGCCTTGTAAGTAATATCCTGCCTGATTCTTTATTCCCTTTCACTTATTCTCTTTCACTTTCTTTCTGTCCCTCCTACTTTCTTATGCTCTCTCTTTCTCCCTCTCTCTCTCTTCCCTTTCTTGTTTTAGGTTCTGTGATCTAGTCTTCCAGGGCCCACAGTCTGTGCAGGAGGACTGGGTTAAGCACCTGCAGAGACACCTCATGCACACCAGTGTCCCGGGCACAGGGGCAAGTATGGTGGAGGTAACGGCTGTGTGTGAGGAGCTGTGTGACCCGTCTCTGGACTCTCTGCCCTTTCCCCAGCTCGCTCAGGGGCTCTCCTAAAGCCACGTTTACACGCCTGCTCTGTTCACTTTACTGTTATTTTCCTGTCCTGCACATGTACATAAGCAGAGCTATGTAAACAAAGCATATTCTACATAAATTTATCTGTAAGAATCTAAGAAAAATATATATTAGAACTATATACAGAGAGAGAAATAGAGAAAGAAAGAGATTTTCTTATATTGCACATGGATCATTTATTCTCTGCTCTTTACTTCTGTTATTTTTATATCCTGCCTCCTTAGACATGGCATGCCATTTACATCACATGTAAAGCCTGGCAAGGACACATTGGTAAATTATTAGAATAATATAATACTGTACTGACATGAATATTTACTCAGAGGACGAACGATACAACCTATTTTTGAACTACATCTACAATCTTAGTGCTACACTTACTGGTAAGACTTCTCCTGGACGTTCTTATGCAACCTCGGACATGATAAGGGGGCTCTAGTGCCACTCATTTTAGCGTTTTTAAGGACACTTTTGAACAAATGAACTAAAAACTCCACAGTGGATGTTGTTTTTCCCAACCTTTGCTGACAGATAAATCCCAAATGGAGTATATAAGAATAATGCAATACTCAGCTCCTGATTTAAGCTCATTTAAAGTGCTTAGATAAGTTGGAAGCACACTGTTCTGTGATACTCTTGCACACTGCTGTAACTCCTGTAGACACTGCTTATGGCATAGCTAATACTGAAATCAAATTGACAAGGTGGTTTCAGTGGAATCATCATTTACGGTGCTCATATGTTAGATGTGCCACTCAGAAGGTCTGCGTTTGATCATTTCGACAGCTCGATGAAGCGTTCTACTAGCCATCCCTTACTTTAGGGTGTAGAGAGAGAAACAGTTACCATGTATCCATCTTTCTGTGGTAAATAAAACTATTTACGAACAATTTTATATGTGCATTTTGGACCTCTTAAGAGATTCTACACACACAGGCTGAATCCAAAGGAAGTGTTTATCTGCTTTTCTATAATTGGAGCACATTCATGTAGCATTAACCCCCTGAACCCTAGACTTGTTACTTGGTTATTAATTTTAAGGCTTATTATTCAATACCTACTGTAAATTTGATAACTAATATGAAGCTAATATAAAAATTATGTATTTAGGGTTTAAGGGGTTAACACTTATAAACTATTGAACTGTGCGATTAGTTTGTAAGGTCAGTGCAATAGCACATTGCCAAGCATCAGGCTTTTTAGGCTTAATTACTATCCAGAAATAATAAATTAAATGATCTCAAATGTGCAATTGTGTAGATTTGTATTATTCCTATTTCTATACACTGAAAAAAGTAATGCATTGAATATACTTCACTAGATGTGTACACCATTTGCACATGAAGACTGGGGATCTTTTCAATACTAATAGCAGTACCAATACGTAAAGGATGCTTTTTGATACCTTCTTTTACATAGCGAACTAAAAGTGGTTGTGGCTTAAATCATCAGTGAGTGTAAGATGCTGGAATCGGGAATACTAAGGATAAAAAAAAGTCAATACACCCTTATTGAAATCACCCTTATTGGTTTTTGTAAAGTCAGAAATTAAGATAAATTGTCAGACATTTTTCCATCTTTAATGGGACGTTGCAACAGAGTTCAGGAGAAAAACAAATAGATGATTGTTAGGAAAAATGTTAAAAAATAAAGAAAATCTTACAGTACCCTATTTGCATAAGTGTGCACACCCTACCTGCCTTTTGCATTTATTACAGCATTTTCTTTTTATGAAGCAATTTCTTGACTTGGATGTGGGCTTTGGATCATTATCATGTCAAAGGGGAGCCTCTAGCAGGTTTTACGCCAAAAGATCTTGATGTTGTCATCCTATCTATTTTTAATGTCGTTCCTATCCCTGCTGAAGAGAAGCAGCCCTAAATCATGATGTTCTCACCATCATGCTTCACATTTGTTGCACCAAATATATCTTTTAGAATTCAGACCAAAAACATTTTGTCTCATTGGATGGTTTCAGGTAATTAAATGTGGTTTTTGCAAACTTTAAATGAACATGGATGATCTTTTCTTTAGAAAAATCTTTTTTATGTGACCAGTACCTGGAGTTTATCAACAATGTTTTTATTGATGGTAGGTGTGCTTCTTATCTTTGCACATGATTTCGAACGTAACTGGTTAAATATGAACACAGCTAAAGCTTCCATTGTTAAATAATGTACACACTCAGGCAACCAGGATATTGCAGGTTAATATTTTTATTTTTTCCCTTAATATTTTTTCTGTTCTCATTGAAGATGGAAAAATATAATGTATGTTAATTTCTGGCTTCAGTAAGGGTATGTAGACTTTTTGTATCCACTGTGTTTACTAACGGCAATGGAATGCAAACTAATGAAGAAGTGCTGATGTTGAACGTATAAACAGAAAGTAATTTAGACATTCTGTTTATATGTGTGTATATGTTATCACTGGTCTAGATTGGTGAACAAGCATACTTATTGGCTTGCTGACGCTGACAAGACTGACTGCCTAGGTACTGAAATTTGATATTGGGTGACATGGAAATTGTTTATACACGGTAGTATTGAAGTAATTCGGTTGGTACTGTAAAAATACAAAATTTTGATACCCAGCCCTACATGCAAATAAACTGCATTACATAAACACATTTATGTCTTTCATTTACTTTTGGCAGTAATTCTTCTGATCTTTTTTTTATTCAGGCAGAAATGTTGTACACATTAAAATCAAGTAAATTCAGTGCATTGCTCTTTAAGTGTACATATTTTTTTTCCATCTTTACACTTATCTCTTTCTTTGTGGGTAAAGTTTGTTTCCAGTGAAAAAGCCATCTCACTGTTATGTAATCAGTAATCCTCTCCATCTAGATGGCTGGTTCTGTCTGTAGTGGAATAGCAGCTCTGATACAGAGACTGTGGCTGGTCCACGAGTGTTGGTCAATCCCGTGCCTGTGAGGGGGCGGGGTGGAGGGGTGTCGGGGAAGGGGCGACCCTGCAGTTTGTCCTGGGCAGGGCTTAGACAGGCGATCAAAGCTGTACAAACCAATTGTCATCACGTTCCTCCAGAGGGAATTTGGAGTACATTAATGCCCCTGCTTTGGGAAGTAATTGTATCTCTCTGTGACTTCATTAGGTGCTCCTGGCTGAATCAAAAGGGCCTCTCTCCCCAGCAAGTATGGAAGCCGCGTGGTGGGCAGACAGCATCCCGAGGGGCAGAATGAATAAAAAACGAGGGATTATAATGAGATTGAGCTAACCATGACCAGGATTGCATTTTTTCCCCCATTATTCTATTGGCAGCATTATGAATGGGGGGTGGATTGAGGGGGCGGCAGGGACATAAAGAAATGTGTATCTAAGTGTAAGATCCACACCAGCCATCTGCCACAGGGGCTAGGCTGCTGACAGACCAGCGCATGCTTATCATTAGGCAGCGAATCAAAGAGGCCCGCTCTCAGGAGATTCCTCTATTAAAACTGTATAGATGTGTCATCCCTTCTCCATGTGGAAAGGGGGAAGCGCCACGGAGAGAGCATGCTTAATGGGAGCGGTGAGGGGATAATGAGTTGGCATTGTAAAACGAGAGAGGAGGTAAGCTATGTGTTCGCCTTTAATCGCTGTATTTTATTTGTTAAATCGAACCTCCAGAAAGCATAAGAAAAGGAGAGGCTTCGGTTGTTTCATATTAATAGTATAACCTTAGGTGCTAATTAAAAATGCCCTCCGGCGCATAAGCACATCCTTAATATTTTATTGGAGAGGTAGTGACAAAGACAGGCCGGGGCTTCGGGGAGGAGAGCGAGCGGTTTTATCTCAACTTAGCATTGTCTCTTAACCACAGTGTCTCAGGTGGACCTGACACCAACACCAAGAGAAACTGTTGATTGATTGATGGGCACTTTTTTTGGTCTCTCTTCTTGCCTTTCTTTTTTCCTCTTTCTTTTTTCTTTTAAGGTCTGAATCTTGTTTTGTCACCCCCCCCACCACCACCTCTCATGTGGCAGGAGTGACCCAGAGATCAGGGCCGTCGACCGCAGCCTCTTTGCTTTTGCGGCTGGTCACTCTGAAAAGTGCAAGGTCCCGCGCTGAAAAAAAGGAAAGAAAGAAAAAAAGACAGGAAAAGAGAGATAGAGAGTGAAAAAAAAAATCAATAGGTTTCCATTATCCGGTTGGGCAGTGTCACTGGCCTGTCAATGATCCCGCTACACACTCGCAGCACAAGGGTGAGACGAGCCCCAAGTCAATCGCCACTGACAAGAGGAAAGCATGCTGACAGCAACCAGGAACAAGTCAGAACACAGATTTGCACTTCAAGAGCCGGTCCGACGGGGCGGCACGAGGGGCCACCAAACGGCAAGGGGCCAGGCTCAGGAGGGACGGAGGTGGAGGGGGGTGGAGGGGGTGGGGGCTTGGCGTGGGCATTGGATCAGGGGGTTTGAGGTGGAGGGGGGTGTGGTGGGCTATGGTCAGGCTTTCAGCCCCCTCATGCCTGTCTGCCTGTCTTACTCCCTCCACTAACGCTTTTATCCCCACATCAATTATTTACCTCTGGATACACCAAAGGAAACCCAGGTGCACTGATTGTGGCTGAGAGAAATTCATCACCTTCGTAGTCGCCCACTCGCTCTTTTTTTGTCTCTTTCTCTCTCCCTCTCCTCTTTCTTCGCTGCCCAGCTCCTGCCCCTCCACAACCCCCACTTAAAAGGCCACGATGATCCAACATGCATGTAAGAGTACTATAGGGGTGTGTGGGGGATGTGTTTCAGGAAGACCGAGTGTGTGTGCGTATGTTAAAGGTAAAACATGTATGAGGTTACTGTTCTTGATGATACAACCTGAGAATAGGAGTCTATTTGTCTGGTAAGGACATTACAAGTATATATATATATATATATATATATATATATATATATATATATATACATACATACATATATATATATATATATATGTTATCACCCAATATCTGTTTTGACTTAATCAATACTTAATTATTATAACCCTTAATCTTATTATTAATATCAGTCTATTAATAATATTGACAATTATCATCATCTTTATTATGCCTCATATCCATTATTATTATTATTATTATTATTATATATTGTATTTACTTGTATGCATAAGATTGGACACACTTGGTCAAATTATATGTTTTGTTGATTTCCTAAGTGATAATAAGTTAACACAGACTTTAATGCACAGTTACTGTTTAATATGCTTAATTTAACATATTGGGGAAAAATATAAAATATGGCCTGTGCGAAAGTTTTTTTTTTTCCCCAATATGTCAGACTGGGCATATATAAATGTCTTGAATTTGATGAGTGGACCAATAGAAATGCTCCAAAATTAGTTAGAATAGAATCCTGTTCCTTGAACGTATTTTTCCTTCTCCTGTATTTAATTATATATACGTATACGCACATTTTTCTTTCTAGTGGTGTGATGTGTTGAGTCTCATTAGAGGAAGTGTGTATGTGTGTGTGTATGTGTGTGTGTGTGTGTGTGTGTGTGTGTGTGTTTGTGTGTAAGGCCAGCCCACGATTTGAACCTGCTTACATCGAGCCGTTCCTGCTGACCACATCCGCCCAGCAAAGAGAGACATCAACCGCTCCACAAAAGGCCAGAAATCAATACATTTTGACAAGGATGAAACCTGTTTGGGATGCACCGTTTTGGTCCTCCAGAAAATATGCTTCTGCCCACGTCACGTGCAATTAGATCAATGCTGCTTGACTTGAGTCAGCTACTAAAGCCAGGCTCAGTGGGCAGTGCTGCGCAATGTCCGGTCTGAACCAACACAGCAGAGCCAAGGATCAGATTCACTGCATCTTAAACATGCAGAACCACATTTGCCACACTTAACCACAATATGGCTTGGACTCTAATAAAATGGCATATTGTCCAGTAATTTAGCTTAAAGGTTAATGAGAAATGAACTTGTTAATTCTCTTCAAATTATGTTAAATGGGCATTTTTTCACAAAGGAAACCAAAAAAAAGAAGCTTGAGGCATCATGTGCATGAAGGCTATTAATTAATACGCTTTTCTCAGAATATAAAATGCCAATTGTTTTTCAATTAGTACACCTCTCCCCCCACCCGCTTCCCCCGCCCCACCACAGTCCCTCTTTTTCTAAAGCTGCAATTCTGAAATGACTGCAGGGAATTAAAGTGAATATGTTGACAAGCCTTAACAATAGCAGGTCATGTAGGCCTGCACGCTCGGTTGCTTCAGGTTCACTCCAGCAGCTGACAGGTCCTAA